TTCATCAAGAGGTCGTCCGGCACATCCTGAAACAAATGCTTCAGCTTGAGTGTGAGGGCCATTTCTGTTGACAAAGGTGGAGCCATAGGGACCATTGACGGCTGTGCAAACAATGTCTTGATAAGCAAAGCTTTCTGCGCCAAATGAACCTGACGTCGCTCCAGCCTGTCAATCATCTGCCGTCCCAGCTCCTTGTTGACCATAGGGCAGCCATGTTGTATTGTCACTTCCAACTTGTTGCCCCGATCATCTTTCAGCAAACAATAGGAACCCTTCCACTCAAAGCGATAGCCCAACTCCGCAATGCCGCCCAAGGGAACAATCCATGACTTGCCCAGCTCAGTGTCATGCGGAGCAGAGAGAAGCACTTTTGAGTCCTGCTTCAGACGGAGCTTGTTGGACACTCCTTCAGCCAGGGTGACTTGTGTAGGTTGCGCAGCCTCCCATTCACGTAGGTCGACTGCCGGGCGAAGTGCATGAGTTGCACCCGAGTCCAAAAGCACTGTAGACCCGCTGGTGTCATAGTCAAGCTGACTCACCCTTATCACACGCAATTGAGGAGCACGTAGGGACTTGAGGAGTTGTGTGGCTTCATGGAGCAATGCTTCACTGGTTGTTGCCCCTGTGTCCGCACCCCCTTTCACCATTGTTGTCTCCCCCGATTGACCATCGCCCTGACCAGTGGCGCTATTGCCGTCCTGCTGAACCTCCATCTCCTGCAGCTTTGCGGTTGCGGCGCCTTGTGACGTGGTGCCACTTGACTGCAATCCGGCATTGGAGGTCCCATTGGAAGAGGACTGAGACTTCCCTCCCCCTGAGCCGGAACCCGGCTCACCAGCGCCCTTGCTTGCTTTGATCGGCGAGGACTTGATCTGTGCTTTCAACTTGCACTCCGTCTTTCTGTGGTCCTTACCGCCACATATCCAGCACCGGGTATGTTTGTCCTCGATGCCCTCCCAGGAATGAGACCATTTGCAGCTCTTTCCAGCTTTACAACCCGGATCAGAGCGGAAATACCGGCAAGGCGTTGAACTGGTTGTAGATCCAGCTGACCCTCCTTTGCCCTTGTCACCAGGGGAGGAAACTGAAGTCGTCTTCTGCGGTGCGTCCAGCTGCTTGACCTTAACAGGAGAGGGCTGCCCACCTGAAGGCGTTCCCAACAGCGAGAGGGTCTCAGCTTCCGCCAGCAAGCATTGACTGAACCTCCAAACACTCTGGCGAATAGGCTGTTGATCCACGGCCAACTGCAACCGGCTCTGCGCCAACCGAAAGGAAGCTTGAGCGTCCAGCGAAGCCACCAACACACAAGCAGGCTCAAGGGCCTTCAACAACAAAGTGCCATCCGGCAGCACCGCGTCAACCTCTTGAGCCCGGGCGTAATGACGCCGCCATGAGCGTAGAGCTGTTGCAAGATCCGAAGCTCCAGTGATCTTGTCCAGGGTGGTCAACTTGGACAGCAAAATGGCTTTCTCCCCTGCACCGCCTGGTTGATAGCGGATGAGAAGCCTGAACAACAGGGCCGTGGAGTTCAACTCTCTGGCCGTGATGAGCGCTTGCTGCTGGTCTGCAGGGATCGCCCTCAGCAACAGGTTCACTCCTCTTTGCTCCGTGCGTTGATAGCAGCCATCCAACAACTCATCAGGAAGTCGGGCCACAATCTGGACACGCTCCAACGGAGATGATGTCTTCCACCGGTCGTAGAAGCACTGAGCCTCCCTCAAAGTGAGATTCCACCAGCGAGCACTGACCGAAGAAAGATCCCTCATCACTGGGCCGCAAACAGCCAACCAGTCCCCCAATTCAATGGGTGAAGCGTCGGATGCCAACTCGACAAGCTCGGCCTTGCTGTTGCCAGTGCCTTCACTCCAAGGCAGCGGCATGGCTGGCTGCCCGCCAGCTTGGTGCCATCGACCATAAGGCATGTCGCCTCCTTCACGAGGTCCCACACTAGAAGACCTTTCCTTTTGAACAGAAGCCCAACCATCATTTGGGGAGACACCATCACGTCCCAGACCAACACCAGGTCCACGAGTAGGGGCCCACCCAAAACTTTGAGGTTGCGAGGCACACGTCACTGATGGAGGCGGAACCGCCTCACTAGATCCTGCCGAGTTGCCGCGCATCTGAGTCAAAGCAGCTTTGAGCTCGCTTACTTCTCGCTCCAGGCGCTCGGTCTTGTTCTCCGTGGTGATCGGCACATAAGATTTGCCCTCCCGCATGCAGAGCGGAACCCACTGCGAGTCACCTCGCCGCTTAGCATCGAAGAGCTCATAGTGCTGCATCTGAATTTCAGCCGAGTCACCACTAATTTCAGCTGAGACACTTGTGGGGAAAGGTGGCATTGGAGGTGCATCCAGATCCAAAGGCGGTGGCCCGTTAGGAATCTGAGTTCCATTTGGTGTGTACCGCATCTGCTGAGAGACTTGGAGCCTTCGAGTGGTCGGGCTCCTTCCCCTTGGAGTGCTCACCATAGGGTCACCATCACTATACAGACCATTACCTTTGGGGGCTGCACCACGAACATGTACGTGAGGACCTCCATCATGTAGACCATTCTCCCCAACCCCAGGACCCACTCCTCCATCAACCGTCTCCCATGATGAAGGTGTCGAAACCGGGCCCGAACGATTGGCGGCTTGCTGCTGCCTAAGTCGGGAGACTTCTTCTTGAAGCTTTTCATTCTCCTCCCTCAGGAAGATCACCATTTCCGCTTCCATCGCACGCTGCAGCCCACATGAATCGTCCGCATCCGGCTTTGGGGGCGGCGCATGCTTTGGAGGAGGAGCATACTGCGGTGGGATTGGTCCCATCGTTTTGTCTCGCCCGCTTGGAGGTTCCCCACTGGATTCCCCAGGCATTTGACCCTCAGTCTTTTCAAGCCCACCACGGCCTCTTCCCTCGGACCCACGGCGGCTCGGAGGTGTGACGAACAGCCGTCCGCCCAAGGTCAGTGCACCCCGACCTTTTCCCAAGCCGCTAGCGGTGTTCTGATCCTGCACCGCTTCCAGGTCCAAGTCTTCGTCCTGTGGGACTGGCAAGTCCTCGGGTCGCTTGTGGCGCAACAGCGCCTCAGCCTGCAGCCGCTCCGACCACCAGGGGTTTACGATGGCCGCATGGCCACTCGCCGGCACCGAGTGTGACCGTTCGGCCGCCATCGCTCGCGCGGAACCGCGCTAGGGTCTTGGGCTCATAACCCTCGACAAAAACCTCACACCTTTTCTTCTTGGACAAAAAATGCCTGTGCGCGGTGGTCTCACCGTCAGACTAGGATTTGTTTCGTTGCTAGAGGCTTTTTAGGTTTCATGATAATTTTTAGTCCAGTGCTACAGAGCGCCGATTCGGCTTTCTGGCTAAGTGCCTCCGGGCCTATTCCTTTGACCCCACTCCGCACACACCCCCACACCGCCTCTTTCTCTCCTTCCTTTCTTTCGTTTGCTAGGTCTTCTCTCAGGCTTGTTAGGTTGCGTTTAGGCTCGTTTAGTTGATGCAACCCCTATCATCCCCCTTCCCGCGAAAAAGGAGTGCGACAGGGAGCGCCGTTGCGGCGATGCGTGTGTGTGTTTGTGTGTGTCAACTCCTTTCCCAAGGAACTTTGTACAGAAATGCAGGGGGCACTGGGGGTGCTGATGAGACCAGTGCTAACAAAGACGCTCGTGAGTCACCTGTGATACAGTTCAAGATGTCCAACTGCGTACCTGCCTTTCTAATTTCTGGTTCCGGTTGTGATGTTTTAAATTTACAAGCTGTTACCCTCCTCTCCAGTAAAGTGCTAATGCGTCGTTGTCAAAACAATACTGTTACTGTGGACTTCTTCGCCTTTCCGTTCCCTCAGCCAAGGTCTAAAGGTCTACTTGCAGTAACACAGGAGTTACCAAGCTGATATAGCTCTTGCGAGCGCGGATCTAAGTGTGTGTGTGTGTAACCCTTGGAGTCATAGGGATCCAGTTTGGATTTGATTTCTAGTGCAGGGGGCATGGCAGCTGTTTCCCTAGCCATGCCAACGAAGCTACGGGATTCAGCCGGAAGGGAATGTGGACGCACATTCCTGTACCTGCAACGTGAACTGTTTTCAAGCTGTTCCACTTCTGTGTTTTGCAGTAAGCGTCTAATGCAGCGGTGATTCACTTCAGATTGTGAACTTGACTTTTTTGCACGAACGTCGTCACCTTGTCGTCCGCTCGATCGGTATTTTCTTTTAGAGTTGCTGGCCTCTTGAAACCTTCGGGACCTCCGCTGGATGGACCTCCACCTCCTTTTAGGTTTCCTTACCTGTACCCTTAGGAATTGGAACCCTAGGCCGGCGTGTGGCACCGCAGTCAGTTCCGTACACAATATCTCAAGTGTGTGTGTGTCAACGCCTGTCTCCGAGGATTCGGACACACTAAGGAACTCACTTGCAGTTAATTCATTCTAGCTTTACCTCATCACTCAATATACAGAGCAGGGGGTAGCGGCCGGCAGATGATTTGGGACCGCTACAAACGAAGACGCGCATGAGATCTGGTGAAGCACTGGGAGACATCCTAGTGTGTACCTGCAGCTTGACGATCAGATGGTGCAAACAATACTGTTTCCGACCCCTTCACCTTGCGGTTTGAGTATGGCCATTGACAGGTTTCAGGTTTCAGCGCTCTACATCTACATCGGTAATAGAATCACTAGAGTGGATCGCCTCAACTGATACAGCTCTTGCGGGCCCTCATCTAAGTGTGTGTGTGTGTGTTGGGTGGTGACGATGGATTCCCGGTGCTCAGTGGGTCCCAATGGTGCTCCAGTCAAGGACTGCGGTTCCTCCGGAAGCTGCCCTAGTCTACATTGTCACACTAAAGGATTCGGGGCAAACTGGGATCCTTGGGGGTGGAATTCAGAGTGCAAGGGAAGGCCTCATATTTGCAACAGAACAAGAAACACTATATGAACATACATGGAGTTAGTTGATGTGGACATGGACCAACATCTATTTTGAGCAGCGGTCTCTTGCTTCTGCCGAGTCCTGGCAGGCTCTGAATGGCAAACCCTTGAGTTCGTAGTGCTGCCTGCGAGATCATCTGCTTTGTTGAGTCTGAGTACATGTTAGGCTCAGATCAAGGTCACACATTGCATTTTGTCGTTGATACTTTCTGCTTAATCGGTACTGATGATTTGCGGGCTTGGAGGACCTCAAGTAGCAGCAAAAAGAAGTCGCACGGCACCGGCGGTTTTGCCTGTGCATGCAAACTTCATTCTCTACCGCTTCAAGCAACCTAACTAACATGAGTACAGGACCTTCCAAAGAGGGTCACATTATGTCACAAAGACACTCTTCATTTATACTGCCTTGAACAGAGTAAGGGTTGCCTTTCGCAGAACTCATATGTAAGGAAATAATGTTCTTTGGTGTGTTTCTACCTTTAGAACATGACTCATAAGTCCCATGTTGTCCTTATATCATGCACAACTGCACAATATGTTATCCAAATCTTCCTTATTAAGTGGAGAACTGGCTCTTTTGGCCTAAGGTCGTGAGGAGAAACCTGAGACGCGACACAGCCAAGGAGGGCCTAGTAATGCAGTTGAAGCATTGTTGAACAGTTTGATGGAAGACAGAGTTGTTGCTGGCCTGAGATTGCAACAGAGATTCCGAATGCCCATGAAGCTTGCTACTGCAGCTCCTATAAACATGTTTGTTACGTTACCTTTGTGCCAACATTCAGTGTGGTCGAGGTTCACCATAGACTTCATATGATATCACTACAACCATTCAATTGCATGCAATTGTTGTTTTGTTTATTCCGGTTTCACTTGATATTCACATATTTTTTATCCCATGAACTTTGCAACTGATCAAGGAGGATGCATCTTCCTGGTGCAATACGCTACCATTTTACCAGCAATGGTAGCAGGTGCCTCCTTTCCAATAAAACCGGTCTCCAAATGACATGTAGCAAAGCCAACAGTCTTGTTCTGGACAAACTGGATTTTGTTTCTTGTATTAAGGGGTAGTGACATTGCCAATGCTAGCCTAGAAACCTACTAGCGACTTGTTACCAATCATGTAGCAGGCGCCTCTAGTGCTAAAGCGAGGTCTTAAAGTTGACCCATCCGAAGATTTATGTCGATGGACAATGCCTTTTGCAGTAGCATTGTCCACGAGGTCGCCAGATGAACTCCGGGCTCTGCGACACAATTGCGACACTCTGAGTGCTCCAGATCTGATCGCTCCTTTTCCAGTTTCCATCCTTCAAGATCCTTCAAGTTCCTCCAGGTCCTATGGGATGCTTTGACTGCCTTGCCGGGTAAGCCTTACTTTCACTCGCACCAAATTTGAAGCAATGTTCTGTTGGTTGGCATTGTGAGGCAGAAGCTGCATGTATGGTGTCCAATGGCGCTTCTGATATTGATTTCAATCCTATGTGCTTTGCTCAGCATGTCGCCTTACGATGCACAAAATGACCAAGAATTAAACAGGACATTTTCAAGTTCAGAGTTGGAGTTCCACAGTTTTACATCGCAAGTATATTAAGATGTTACTGATAATGGATTTCCTCCATTGTACACTGACGACTAATATGAAGCTTGCAGTTGCATAGGAGTCATAGGATCTATATACATATATATATATATACTGTATCATATATCGAGCAACTGCATTTCTGGGCTGCCTGGCTACCCCATGGACAGGACATCTAAGCTTCATGAACCAGGGAATATCGTACCAAATCCGCGTCATTCTGCGTCCCAATGAGAAAGCCGAAAGCTCTCCAACTTAGCGTTTTGCCTCAGTCCTGAAGCAAATTGAATCATTTGCGAGTCAACTGCAAAGACCATCTCAACATAGCTCAACAAATTGGGATTTACACAATTTGTCACAGGGCATATACACAAAATGTTTGCTTGGCGTTGACCATGCTGTTCGGGCAATGCTGTTGACCCAGCCTACAGATGGACTAGAACTTGGCTGAATTGAGTTCACTTTCCTCAACAGCTATTTTATAGCTTGGGGGCCTCTGCCAATGGAGGTAGTTTGGGCAGAGCCTCCAGAGTTCCAAGTTTCCAGGAAAGGGTTCCAGAGCAAGAGTTCTGAGTCAAACTTCCAAGTCAAGGTTAAAGGACAAAGATGAATTGAAGTAGGGGTTCCACCTCCCGCTTTGCTGCTATGGCAACGAAACCCGAATTACTGTAAGTCATTTGATCTGTTTCATTTTCATGCTATAAAGCAATACTCCTTGAAGCGTCTCATTGCCACTGCAGTACTGTAGTTCCAGGTCCGTAATCTCACATTCTCGGGTTGTACTAGTGAATGTGGAAAAATCAACGCCGAAGCTACCTGTTCTCTCGACACCAAAGGATTTGAAAAGCAAGGTGTGGAACCTGAACAATTCATTGAATGAGCGCTGAGGTATCGGAATGTTTGAGGCTATGAGACTGTCGACACATGTTCTGAGTAGCCCGTGCACAATCACGAGTTCAGAGGCTGGCCATGAGCATACTGGGCAAACGCAGACTCCCAAGTTTGCTTTTGGTTGTAAGCTTTGCTTTCTGCCCAGATGTCCGATGTGGGCACTTGCACGCTCTGCGACAGTTCTACGCCCTCAACCTGTCAGGTGCCACTTCCAACACTGTGAATTTCGCATGGTTGGTCTCATTAGGTACAGACAAGAATTTCACTAGCGTAGTTCAAGCAATTTGACAAATATTTTCAGATCAGTCAGGTCAGTGTTAGCATCTTCACGATTTTGGACAAGAAATCTTCAGTGAGTGTCAAACATTTCATGAATCCTCTGGAGATACATCCGATCACCACTGCGCGGCTTTCGGTAAACTTCAAGCACCGCCACCTGGACGAGAACATCACAGGTTCAGTATGGTGCGCAGATCCAGATACGAGTCGTGTAGACGTGTAGCCGGCAGTTCTTCCAGTCAGTGGTGTAGCCAATTGGGCACGTGCCCTGCGTGGCTGTCATTCTACAATTCAGCAATGAAGTAGAGTGGAGCAGATGCTATTTGTTGTAGGCTTTGTTGTACCGTTCTTGAGTGTTGCCCTTTTGGCTCAAAAGCTTGAGTGGGCTTGGAAGGAAGTCATCCTGACGGGGGAAGCCGCCAACTAGTAGTGGGCGCTGGGCATTCGGGTGGAGGTGCAAACTTGTGCAGCGTGATGCAAATGATGCATGTGTTTGTTTGAGCGACTGAGACATCCCTTTCTATTCAAAACAAGACAGAGCATATCTTGAACTTCTCAAGTTGACAACGCTCCGTCTGCAGGAGGCTGGCCTTGCTGTTTGCATATGCCTTATGGTCCTTGCCCAAGCAGAAAAGTCTATTTTCATAGGCACTCAATCTGCTTGGCTGGATGTGAGGCCTCCAATCTGCTTGGCTGGACCTCATTTCCATATTGTGGACCAGCAGTCTCGGGCCAAAGCTTCAAGGGTTTTCCGGGCTACCTCGATCCAGCTTAGGCAGAGCCATGTCCGACTGGAGCGACAATCCGACTGGACCCCAAGGACCGGATCTTTGGATTTTGGCAGATCTTTAGCATTTTGAACGGGCTCCCCCCCAGCACCCCTACGGCAGCCACTGACGTATATAATAGAGCGACCTCATTTGTTGGACTGAAGGAGTTCCCGTATGGTTTGCATCCTTCAACGTTACCTCTTGTATCCGAGACTGGCACAGCAGAGACCCTTACCATGTGTGAGGACTTTGTCAAGGGGAAGGGGCAGCCAGCTGCCTCTGTGAAAGACTCTGAAACATTCAGCTGTCTTCCCTCGGTCTCAGCAGCGGCTGCGGCTATGGCAATAGAGGACAGCACTAGATGCAAGCCGCAGATACAAGTGTGCTTTCTAATACTATCAACAACGATGGCAAAAGATGTGTGTGCACATATGTAGTTCATTTTTATTTTTTGTTTTGTTTGATCTGTGAGGAAGTTCACTTCAGACCGTTGGCTTGTGCCGAGCCCACCTCTCCCGAAGCGGAAAGAGGCGTTGGAGGGCAACGACTGGAACAGTGTCCGGCTTTTTGGTCCGGGTGGACTGGTCGCCTTGGCGTGAACCACCTGAAAATACCGATTCCCAAAAGGTAGTGAACATGTATGCTTTAAAAGGGTCTTGGTGCATCATTAGCATCACAAAGTGCTCAGGAGACTATTCAGATTGTGTCAAGAAACTTTTAAAGATGCTTTGTTGGCAAATTATACTGGCAAGTAAGGCATCAGATGCCAAACCAAATTCATCCTCATGCAAAAGCGAAAGAGGGCTTGGTGCTCTTTTTTAATGTGAAAAGTGTCCTTAACCAGAAGCAAAAGGGCACCTAGAACTGTATCAATCGTCAGTGTGCAACAGTCCATTATTGTGCTTACTTCCCTACTCCGACGCTATAGATTAGATGGCTACACGTTCAAATTCATGCTCATGCCACGTGAGCAAACACTCACGAGCGTTTATCGTTAAGGGTGCCCTTTTTTACCTGAAGAGGGCCCTAAACACGAAGAAGGGCACAACCTCGAACTGTTTTATTCAAAGATTTGAACGTTTGTACAAGCGCCTGGAATCCAAATCTATCCCATAGCCAATAACAGTAAACGGGTGTTAGTAAAGGCCTTCAACTTAGTACAGCCCTTGTGTCTACATCAAGCGTCAATGTGAAGCTTTGCATATCTCTGCCTTCTCTTGTCCGGTGCCTACAAGCTAAAAACCTTCTCAATCCCTACAGGGGCTGGCTTTCGTCCCTCCCTTCTCAAGTATATATATATATATATTCACAACTTTTGTATGTAGATAAAAGAAGAAATGATATACATATATAATATATACTGTAGTATATACAAATGATATGTATACATAGATGTTGTTGTGGACATGGTTCACCATTTTTTGTCCGTTTCATACAGGTGAGAGTACTGCGTGCACTCAGAGATCAGTGTCGCAAACTCATTCCGTCTATGGCTTGGATTCTCGACCAACTTTTTATGTTCTCAAAAAGTGACTCTCCTGCCAGCATTTTCCGGAAGCTGCAGGGCATGTGTGAGATGGACACGGCCTTAGAGCCGGAGCAGGAGGACGGCTGTGGGAACAATTAATCTCGCAAACATGTGCATGCTTTTGTATATAAATTATATACATACTCGTACATTGTAAATGCCTAATGCTGAACTATACCCTGAAAGGGATCTTCGTGACTTTAGATTTATTTTGCTTCTATTATACACAGTGTCAGCATTCGCATCCTCTGTATAGCAGCATTGGAAGCAGCCCTCAAGCCAAGGCTGACTGACAAAGAAACTAGGCATAGGTGCCAGCTACAGTGATGAAGCCAAACAGTGTCCCCTTGTGTGCAAACAATCCTGATGCTTCGCTTGATTTCTGCAGTCTTGTGTATTAACAAGGAGTTGGATGAACGTGGCAAAGCATCAGTACAATGCATGCCCACTCGACA